CACTATAAAAGACGGAAACGCAGGGCTCGGTAGTAGTGATCGGGGTAGTGTGCTGTTGTATTGATGTTTGTATGTGCGATGCCTGTGTATGCGTTCAATATATGTTGACCTGATGTTTGTAGTGTGCGTAACGTGTCTACATGTGTTAGAGATTCCGAAGAAAAGGAAACGCAATGTGGCGTAAGGAAATAAAAATATTTTTTTGTAAAACATGAATTGGGCGGTACCTAGCGCCACCTAGAGTAGCTACGCGCGATTACTCTGCTTTACCCTGCCATCTGGTGGCCAGCGATTTAACATCCTTTTACGCTACGCGGCTACGCCATAATTTCGTGTTACCGTGCTGAGATAAGCCAAGAGGTTGCTTCGGATTTGCTTTTTTTTGAGAGCGGCTTTTGGTTTTGCGGGCGAATGATTTTCACTCCTCCGTGATGTGCGGTTGACGCAACGGTTGACCAAGGAATTGTGGCTCGAGGAATAGCAAAGGTAGGACGTAAAGTGCGCGAACTGAGTGCAGGTTGTCTCCGTTGTACATCGCAGTGCTGACGATGAGAAGACTGAGTGACTGCATGCTTTCGAAACGTAAGTTTGTTTACCTGCAGGGGTAAAGAAACTTCGGAAATAAATACAGTTCGCGGAAAGCTCGTGTTACGTTTTTATTTCCTGCTCCTCTCGCTTCGTGCAATAGACTAAGTGTTCTCGTTAAGCCTTACCGAGCTCGATTTGCTCGATTCGTGGCCGCCATAATGAGATGCAGTCGACGGAGGAACTTTTCCTCCCCTGCTTAAGGGACGAAAGTTTCTCCCTTTCTGAAGGAACATATGTGTCAAGAGCGTTCCTCCCTTTAGGGAGGACTATACTGACCCTTTTTTCTAAGAGTGTAGTATCGCCACCAAATGCGGTTTCGGTTCTTGGAGTCATTGAAAAATAATTTGATTGGCTTAAAATGGCACAAGAAAAAACAATATAATTGTAAGGGATCCGTGAAGATGGACATGACTGATAAGTTGATTGCATACAGTGCCAAAGACGCTTATGTTGGCAAGGAACTCCTTCACTACGATGATGCTCCATGGTCACCTTGATGCAAGTGGTTTAGGACGACCCTCAAGAAGCTCTCAAGATTTGAATGAACCGAAATGGAGATTGCCATGGGTAACGGAGACGAATTAGCCAATCGCCTTGAGAGGTTTTTGGTCGTCTTTATGTTAGTATCTGTTTGTGTCTGGCTAGCAAACAGGGAAGGCAATGGCATCACTTTAACAGGATCCAGTGACTTTGTGTCCGTTTACTCTAATGTGCACACACTCCCAGACCCCCCCCCCCCCCCCCCCCCCCCTCCCCGTCCCCCCTTCCGCTACGCTGCTTTATCAGCCTCGAGGTAGCCAGAATATATCAAGCGCCACCCGCGCGCGTTCTTGCTAATACTGATCACGATTGCACGACGGAGTAACAATTCAAGTAGGGCAACCCGCGTCCGAACGCGTAAAACGTTAGTCCCCATTTCTAATATGCGTCGTTACATTGTTCCTCAGTCACCGGAATTCATTGTTTTACCTAGATTACAGAGTGTTTCCCACTGCCCGATCGCAGTCACTTCGTTTATGGGCGGTGTTTGCAATATGAGCTGAGAAAGGCCGTGACAAAAGCGTCTTCGCAGTTCGTCCCGCTTTTTTGCTGGCCAGAAGACGACGCCGCGCATGTGCAATTGGCGGAATAAGCGTCCGCCATTAAATTGTAAACACTCTCCATGGGGAGAATTCACTTAATGTAAAGGTGCAAGCGAGCTGGACAAGAATAACGAAAATGATCCCTGTAAAGGGGGTCTACAAGATGTCCACAAACACAAATCTCCAAACAAAGCTAGGTGGTTGGTGCTCGACAGAAAATAGTTCAGTCGGTAGAGCCCTCCACAGGAAATTGAGAGGTCCCTGGTTCAAAATCAGGACTACGCGTTTTTTTTTTTTTTTTTAGTCGCGCACTAGTCATTAACCTCTGCTAGGAGATTTGCGTTTGTCCGTTGTCTCCCTTATTGCCCCTCTTCACGGATTATTATTGTCACTCTCCATGGTTTGAATTGCTGCGTCTCTTAAATCTAGACTCTCTAAGATCGATTCGAGGTTGTCTGATATGCGCAAAGGGAAACGTTTAGCGACCGCACTCAAGCTTTACTCATGGCAAACTGAACATGTCAATTAAACCCTGCACTTTAGAGGCACGTTGAACATTCCTAATTTTAAATTCAAGCGCGCTGTCAGCGCGCTAAGTGATCAGAGTCGAGGGAGTGGTGGGACGCTGAGGTCTCGTCGCGGTAATATTATGTAGTTAGTGTAGGCGTTTCACCGCTTTATAATGTTGTAAGCAACTGAGCAGTGAAAAGTAGATGTCGCGTTTTTGGGAAGTTTGATAACTTAAATACGCTCTTATTCCTCGCAGTGCAAAAGTTCCTTTGGGTATTTGTACAGAAAAAAGTGCATGGCCCGATAAACGCTCTAGCATGATAAAGGTTTAGCGATACTCTGAGTTTCCTGATGTCAGACGCCTGCATTCACGGCACTTTTCATCGGATAGTTTAACGCGTACCATGTGTGCAATAGATAGTTCTTCCTAGAAGGAAGCAAGACTATAGCTAATCGGGCTGAGAAACCTGTCTATCTTCCAAAGTCTTCCATACTCTCGTGCTCCTCTCCCTCAGTGCGCACAGGTGGTCCAGCTCCTCCTTGCCTATCCCTCCGGTCATTACAATCTTGCTGAGCATCATCGAAAAACGCTAAATGAATAAATTGCAGAACGATAAAAGCCACGCGACGTATTTTACGGCTTTCTGAAAAAGCGCACAACTTTCGCGGGTTTTTAAGTTTCAGTTTGCAATCGGAGCGCCTCTCGGCACCAACGGCACCGCACCCTGTTGATAAATAGTGCAACCAACGTCTGCTGCGCTGTCCTGGCGCAACGCAGCAGAGGCAGGTTGCATGGTTGCACTGTTTCTCCACGGGGCGAGGTGCCGTCGGTGCCGAGAAGCGCTTGGATTGCAAACCGAAGCCTAAAAACTCGTCGAAGTTGCTCGATTTTTCAGAACGCCTTAAAACACCGCGCGTGCCTTCTAACGTTCTGCAATATGTTGATCTAATGTTTTTGATGATGCTCAGCAAGATTCAAATTGAAACCATGCCTTTAAACTCAATATTTAAAAAATAATTACTTGAAAATAATTAACAACTTAATTATCCCGAACTTTAATAATTTTACTAAATAGGCCCCTGGCTCAGAACCAAGCCGACACAGGCCTTTTTTCAGTGCGATGCGTAGTTTTTTTTTTTTCAATATCGAATTCGTCCACCTTTCGTGAAACACCCTGTAGAGCCGCGGTGACGTGACGATATTGCGTCCTCGGCGGGATCCTGGTGCGATTGGTGGTGGATGTTGGCTTCGATGAAGACGAGGTCCGACAGCCACTGTCTTTCGCCCGGAGGTTTATGTCGCCGCAGCAGCAGCTTCTGCTATTGGTGGAGAAAGAGGAAGACGAAGACCCGCTGGCGGTGAATACTTCGGCCAATGTTTGAAAGCCTTTGTTCCGGGTCTTCGAGAGGGTCCTTTTCAAACGATGGTGTTGCAGACTGTCCCCCTAAGTGCGCTGTGATTCGAGCACGGGCTCGTCGGGATAGAAACAAAACAGTCTGCTAACTATAAGAATTTTTTTTTAGGACATGCATTTTCGTGAGCTTTTTACGCGCACACTTTATAGGTCATGGGCGTTAGAAGAACAGAGTGATTATCCTCTATCTGCACATCAAAGCAAAAACACGAGAACAACAATGTCATGTGGATACTTTCTAACAGTATGGGATACTTTTCAAAGGCCTAGCAATTATATGGACAGCTCTTAGCACCTTCGTAGACTTCCTTCCGTGTGCGATGAGCAGCAGCATAAACACGTATTGTGATGGCCTTTCCTTGCGGGCTTCCCATAGCACCAAAGCGGCGCTGAAGCGACAACGGCAGACACGGCAAAGCAAAGTGGGAGGATAAATGCCGCATTCACTCAGGCGTTTCAATCATAGCCGCGAAACGTATAGTCTCGCTTCCGTCATCAAATGCGCGTGAAATTGAACTGAATATTTAAGCAGCCGCGTTGGCAATTGCCCCACGAATCCGGTTTAAACGCCAGTTTGAATGAGCCCTAAGGGACACAGCCCGAAAACGAGAGCTCCGGGACCAGCCGTGACAGGAAGCGTGTAGCTATTAAACAGCGTTCAACTTGAGTTCCAAGTAGCAGTTTACGTACAATTTGTTCGTTGCGGTTTGTTATCTACGACAGATTGTGGTTTCGGACGGACGTGAGCGAATGAGCTCTAAATGCTTTGTATTGAATTTGACGAACGAAAAAGCGGACGGAGGCAAATCCTGTGAGAATACCACTTTATCTGCTGCTGAGGTTGATTTCCTTTGAAATTATTCTACACGTGCCTTAAAATCACTCATTTTCTCACTTCACCTTCACCCCCAGTTCTCTTCTCAATCTCCGTCCTCAGTTCTTCCAGATTCACTTATATGTCAAATAATTTGCACGTATGCGGCCTATAAACTACCAGGATAGTCCCGTTTGTTCAAGAATTAGAATCATTTCCCGAACCCCGTAATATTGAGGCACATATTAAAAATTTACATGTAACAATTCCACGTGAATTGTATCTTCGTTTGAAAGTGTAAAACAAAAAATGATGCGGATGTTAATATTATGTTAACTTTGTTTAACTTCAGATGTTATGATTGTTATTATAAAAGGAGGAATCTATTTAAAAAAAAAATAAAAAAAATAATAATTCTTCAATATAAAATATGTTTTTGTTGTTTGGCAGGTTTCCATGACAGATATTTTTTCAAATTTAGGATTCAAGTTAGAATATGTTATCATTGCATTAATTAGATATAAACATATTATTTTATACACATTTTTTTAGGGTGACTAATATCATAATTTGTTGCGAACATATACTTACGGTTAGAATATCCTTTAGTTCTTAGTATAGTGCAGCGTCTACCGTCCGTGAAGATCACCCTTGTTTCAAGGAACGCTATATGAAAATAAAAATCAATGTAAATGCACCCCAATGACACTACCAGCATAGAACTTTCAATTTGCTTTACATACCCCCGTTCCGAAAAATCCTGGCTACTGTTGCATATTTCGTATCGTAACCAGCGACGGTGTAAGGACTGTACGTTTGAACTGTAAATCTGAAAGAAAAAAATAGGCATTGGTAACAATTTGAACCGGAACGTCGTACGCAAGGGTAAAACAAAATGTTTATGGTGACCAAAACAGCAATGATGAAGCTCAAACTAGAGTCGGAGGGCAGGATCGCCGCAATGCGTATATCCAGTGCTAGTGGTGCGAGGGTCTCGGCTCCGGAAGGGACTGTTATGGGCTGATTGGACCCGGTGGAACAATGCGCTAAGCCGCTCAAGAACCAGAAACTGCCGCCTGAAGCGGAAGCTCCGGTAAGGTTCGACGGAGTTGAGAACGTGTTCATGGCCTACGGAGCGCCGATCGTGAGCAGAGTGCATTTAATTATTTCCGCCTTATCAAAAAGAGTGAAATACCTCTGCGAGAGGTTATCTGTTGAAGAAATCGCAGCTAATATTACGGTTAAAACTGCATTCCTTGACGAGCTCCTTCTCACCCCTGGCTAGTACCGTAAGCGGTTCGCTAGCACGGGAAAGCGCAGAAAGGAAGGATGTGCACAGTTCGCGTCAAGACGAACCAGGTACTTTAACTACTCTCAGGAGGCGCGGAACATAGAGACCAGGGGGGCCTCGCCAGGCAGACCAAGTAAAAGCAAGCCTCAGTAAGCTGCTTCTCCAACATGTCACGTTGCGCGAGGAGACAGGATGACTGGGGGCGCGTGAGCTGGCAAAGGTGGTACAGATGTATGAGGACGCCGAGAGGGACGGCGAGTGGCGACGAGCAGAGGCCAGAGGCAACATCTCGAAACCAGAAACGGACACTTCCAAACAGAGTCCTCCTTGCGCTACGCCTCGTTGCTTCTGTTTTAACCAGAGCGGGCATATTGCGAGAAACTCCACTAATCGCGGAAGAGCAAGACCAAACGGCTTGAAAGCCTCTTGTACAAAGAGTGGTGGTCGGTGACAGACTTGTACCCCCGAGTTTCCCTCAACACCTCACGGCTGAGGCAGGAAACGACTCAGAGGTTCAGAACAGATCCACGTCGAACTGGCCTCAAGCGACCAAGAGTTCAGGGCCGTGTTATGGTGAATTTCGCTCGCAGATCTCGAGCGCTCCATTTGGAGCGCGCATATTCCGCTCGCAGATCTGGCTCGAGCCGGTCATCTTCCGCTCGTAGATCTCTGGCAGCACCCGCCCCACGGAGCGCATCAAACCCTGCCGAAATTGCTCTGCGGGATTTCACAGATCTCTCCGGCAGTTGACAGAGCGGCCCACGTGATTTCTGCCTAAACCGGCAGTGCGCATGCGCGGCGAGGTTGGAGAGGTCGGCGGGCCAGTCGGGCCGTCGAGTTGGATCTGTGCGGGTGCGTCGGTTGTTTACGTGGGATTGTGACGGCTTGAACGCTTCTACCTCGCGTAGATCAGCCGGTACTCTGGAGCGTGGTAAATCGCAAGCTCTGACATCTGTGATCGTGAGAGGAAGAACGACAGAGAAGCCGGAGGCAGACGCAAGGTTAGGCCTCTTCTTTCTGCAGCCAAGGATTGTTTACCTTTTACACGGCATTCCGCATGCATTTTCCCATGAAATAAAGCAAGAAGTGATTCCAACGACCGCGCAAGTGATGGTTTGTTACCTCTGTGTTTATTAAAGTCGTACCAGAAATCTGAACTCCACCGCGGGCTATCGCTGTCCGTGCCCCGCCGCTTCGAGGCGGCCGAAAGGTATGTGACGGTGCCGAACGCGGACGTATTCGTGATTTGTGACATGGGCGTCGTGGTGCGTATAATTTCCCCCGGCCTGTGCCGCGTGTTATTTCTGCAGCTAAACATTGACAGTCGTCACTGGTCGTCGGAAAGATCAGCCGGCTGAGGCGTTGGTGGGCTGGTCAAGTTCGAGCAGCGGCCATTTTGTACGGCGGAGGGAGAAGGGGTGACGAGGGGTGTGGGGGAGGTCGCTCCAAAAATGCAAATTTAACTTCCCCTCGTCGATTCGGAGTGGGTCCCACGGAGCGGAATTCCGCCTCCCTCGCGGATTTCGGAAAGCGCTCCGGATCTACGAGTGGAATTCACCACTAGACACCGGCTGTGCAAAGACAGTTGTCAAGGAAAGCGCAGTTTCGCGGGTACTTGCTGAGCCTAGCGGCACAATTCACCCCGTTCAGGCTTTCGTTTCGTAAACAGCTGTCTGACGACACGTCGAGGATTCGCCGGTCCACCGAAAGGGGATGGGCCAACGAGTTATTTTTAGTGGAAACGGAGCAAGTGGTTACAGTTTAGTGCTGGAGTTCGAAAGCTAGCGCTCCGTAATCGAACCCGATCGAAAGACTCTGCAGACAAATGTACCCGTAATCGGAACTTTATTCAATCAGTTGGCAAACTCCCGAGCTTGGATAAGCAAACACACGATACGAGCACCCCCTTCCCAGCCGCGTACATGGGAAGTAACCTTTTGCCGTATTGCTTCGCGTATGTACTTTTATTCGATACGAAAGTAATAAATTGTTTTTTGAAAAGCAACTGCCAAGTTCAACTAAGTTAGTCATCGACGCCCAAAAGGAAAAACTTCGTCTTCGACAAGAACTACCCAGCTTCCCAGAACGAAGTTCGTCACCCAACCCGGACCTAACGACTTGGACGGCGAAAGGTGCGCCCGGGTAACCCGTACTGTAACCCTAACTGAACCGTTCTTATTTTCGGTTTTAGTCTCTGGCTGCAGTGTCTGTTGTCGTGCTAAGTTAAGGATTTCTGTGCTTCAGTAGTCGCTGGTACGTCTTATGTAACGTCATGCGCCGCGGTTTGCGTGTTGAAACACATTTTAGCAATAGTTACGGTAGCTGGCACTGCTAAACTTTTTTCCCAGGATCATTCCATTCGCCGCGGTGTTAATGGTGGGAACATCAGGGGCAGCACTGAAAGAAACACTGATTTCATGCTTTACTTTAAAGTGTTTGTAATGGTAGACTCAGAAGCAGGTAGATAAAAAAAGTTTCTGTTGTTCCGAGTGCGACACAAATTATAATCGTAATAACAGGAGGGCACGCCAAATAAAACTTAAGACGTGGCGCCGCACCCCTTCATGGTATAAGCCTATAGCCTTCCTGTGGCGCGGCGTTTTTTCTCATTCCAAATAAATGCTATTATTATTACTACTAATACAGTGATGAATGCAAACGAAGAAAGCTTCTGCTTGCTAGCGCGTAAGACGATTTATTTGAAGGTCGCGTGTGGAATGGTGTGTCGCTTCTGGACAATTGAAAACAACAGCGTCGAAATGGACTTGTTGCGAGCGCTTGCGAGCGCGAGCCGAATACTGGCTCAGTTGTTTGAAATCTACGTGTGTACTTACTTAGGTACTGTAAACTCAGACTCTGCTTAGAGCTAAATCTAGTTTGATAAAAAATGTCATTTCAGCTGCTTTACTAACACGCAAGTTGTATACCTATTCTCACAATCACCTAAGTCTATTGCTGTTATGACGGTAAACTTTATTTACCGTTTCTCTGCAATCCTGCAGAACGTCCCGATCGAGTAATCTTAAAATTAACTTTTACATAAATTTCACCCATGCCTGGTGGTGTGAATAATACTTCAGCTACCATGCGATGTATAATCATCGGCATCACAGCAACTGCAAGATATAAACGTCAGGGTCCAGTAATGTACATCATTTTATTTTGGAAATGATGCCCAGGATGCATTTTTAAATTTAGCTTAGAAACTCAGCTTGGCTTGAAATAGTGTGCACGTGTTAGTTTGACGCCGACCTGACATTGCTGAAAAATCATGTGCAAGCGCACCAGTCCAGTGAAAAACAACCGATCCGTGGGTGTGTGTGAGACAAAACGGGCTAATGGTTATTGCTGAGTGCAGCTGCGGGGTACAACGCGGTGTGCATCGTATTTATGGCCACCGTTGCCGCTGCGCCATTGAACTCTTTATCTTAATCCTTATTCTTAATCGTATACAAAAAAAAAATCTTTACAAGCTTAATCGGTATGATGGCGATAACAGAAGACTTTGATTTGTTAAACACTACAATCTGAACAATGAGTTCCTGATCATGCAAAAGGCTATGACTCACATTGCTGGCTCCCGTGCACGAGATTACTTTGCGCTTTTTGTTACCCCGGTGATCAGATATTTGTTAACATCAAATTACAAAAGGAGAAAAAGAAACATGCAAACGCGAAAACTTTGAGTAACACAAACATCCCGCTGGCTCATCCGGGTCCTTCTCCCGTTTGCCCCAAGCCCCCAACCAAGCGAGGAGGAAAACGTGCGACAACACTTTCCACCTTTTCTCTCGCCCTCATTTAGTAAAATGGTCTATATCGAGGCTCAATTTAGGCATTGAACAAATTACCATAATTTTTATCTGTAGATTTACCAAAAAAATATTGACGTCCTTGTTTAGTTATACAGCGTAAGGTCGGTCTACCTCTCAGTTGCGGCGGCTCTGGTTTGCGTTGTAGATGAGAAATGTTGCCAGTGCATTGCGAATGCTAGCTTGGGATTTGCGCACATGACGCAGCAGTTATACTCGACTGCACGCCGGTAGGATCATTCAGATCGAAACTGGCAGGGGTGGGGATTGAACCCAGAGTTCCTGGGCTTTGCAACACGAGTTTTGGCTCCACATTTTTCGAGCTGCGGTGCGCTGACGTACTCGGTCACCAGTCTCTCTCTCTGTAGGTCTACCAAGTTTTTTGGAATTGACAATAAAAATACCTTAGCAGGCAGGGTTGATGGTAAAACAATGTAAACAATTAAGGGTGCGATTACAGTAATTACAGCGATTACACCTAACACTTTACACCTAAAAACTCAAAACTAATACTCAAAAGTTTATCAAATACAAAAAGAAATGCTTAATTTGTTATTACAAGTCGAACACGTGGAACGCAACACGAATCTTAAAATGTCCCTGCCGCTTATGTGAGAGGTTATAGTTACACTCTATTTCTGTGCATATTTTTGTTTGTCGTGCTTGGTCCAGCTACTCGACATAGAATTACTGTGTTGCGAACATTTATAGTTTATGTACAATTAATGTTGAGTACAAGTAGAGATGCACACGTGTAAATGCAAAAAACTAACGTCAAATATTAATTGGCAGCATATAAACAAGAGTTTCTTTTAGAACGATTTTATCCAGGGGACCTTTTTATCGGAAATATTAGGTCAAAATCACGCCTAAAATTTCTTCAGAGTCTGGGCAACGACAGCCATAATTTATGCACGCCTCACATTTTTGTAATTGCGCTTGTTTCAAACTATCTTTGATATCACTTAGAAGTAAAGGCTACACACTATCCAATGCCAGCATTCCTTGGACGTTACTTTGACGTAGATAAACCCATAAGACGAAATTGAATCTAGCAAATAATTATTTGAATAATAATATTGACGTTGTCTGTCCTGTGAGCGCGTTCCTAAGATTGCGCGGTAAGAGGAAGCATGTCTTCTGTAACTGTGGCTCCTGCAAGTTCCAGAATGCCACTGGTACGCGGAATACTATAATCGATACACTTAGGAGAGAAAGAGAGAGGGAGGAAGTATGATCCGTTTGCTCTAAGTGTATGCGCGACTTACGTTAAGAGCACTCGCCAGTGACAACTTCATTAGGCTTCGGCTGGACCCCATTTCGTCACTTCGAAGCTCTCATAGCAAACTAACCCCAGACTGCAGTACGCAAAAAACTTGTTCTTAAATTAGGTTTCCATCCCCAGTTTTCTTACTTCAAACTCTACCGTTTAGTATTCGCGTCAATAAAAGAAACATCTGGTATATATGCAGTGACGTTAATCGGGAAACAAGCCTACTTTTCATCCTTGTTGAACGTTGTGAGAATATGAAGTCTCCCGTCAGGTCCCGGTTCTTCATTCGGACGGTACGTGATCATGCACAATCGGGAAGGGTCTTCTGCCAATGAGGAGTACACCAATAAGAGTGTTCCAAATAAAAGACCCTGAAAAACAATACCTATGTCAATAACTTTTTGTAGTCAGTACACTGTAAAAAGTAACTGTGTAAAAAAAAAAGAAAAAAAAAAGCTTGGCAGCTTTTTTGCCACATTTGATCTGTTTTCTTCTGTTGCTCTGTTTCTGTAATTTCAGTTGAAAAAAATATTCTTTTCAGGTCTTGTCCTTTGTACTTGCGGGTTTCTGCTTTGGGTGAGAAAGAACAGTTTCTGCTCTTGGAAATAGCGAAGCTTTTGTAAAACAAAAGTACAAGGATATTCATTGGTGGATTCTTAGGGATTGCGCTGCCATAACCCTTGGGAAAAGTCAGACACATCCCTCTTTGGGAAACGTTAACGCTGGCCCCTTCACTTTTCTCTTTGGGCTTTCTTTTGCTTCCTAAATTTTTGCATATTTTTTGGCCTCGTTACCTGGTCAGTGTTAGCGTTTCCCAAAGGGTGACGTTTCCCAAAGGTCATGCTAACGCATTCTCAAAACATTCACCAGTAGATCTTCCTGTAGTTTATTCCTCTGACCTTACGCCGACGCCATTGGATACGGTCATAATATAACTCGCGCAAAGAACCCCAACCATACCACTCGTGGAATGAATCGCATCCATACCACTCGTGGAGGGAGTCGCATCGATCGTTTTAACTATACACACACACATCACTGCCCACTCACCCCTACTGCGGAAATCCAGAGCGAAGAACAGCAGGCGACGGTAGAGCGGCAACTGAGCACGCCCGCATTCCACCGCGCCGGGGTGCACCACTTCCTGATAACAAAGGCGTAATGCTGAATGAGATGGCGTCATCAGAGGAGGCCAATGCTGGGCACATATTTGACACGACGATCCATTCAACGTTCGGAACAAACTTGACTTGAAGCCGAGTGCTGACGCAGCACCCGTTTCCTATCTGTATCCAGCGTTGGCCTTCCCTGATTACGTCATCTCATGCAGCACTACGGCTTTGTTATCAGGAGGTGTTGTAGGTCGCTTTCTCTTCACTGGCTCCGCACTAGCATTGCGCGTGACTGACGAAAACAAAAGGGCTCGTTTTTACCAAAACCCGGCGGTGTCTGCCACTTTTTCAGCGCCGAGAAGAGAGAGAGAGGTTCACCCGTGTTCACGTCAGTGTTTCGGATCAATGACAGATCGCACGTGTCACTTTCTTCCTCCTTTTCCCTCCCTCCCCGGCGTTGGCAAACAAAAGACACCACCGGGTTTTTGTCGGAAAGAGCGTCATATTGCTATCGTTTTGGACGTATTGAATGCATTAAAAGCCGTGAAAGCTACACCTACGCGGTTTGAAGTAGACTTACTGTATATGCTACCTACGGTAGCAGAGTTGCGTATTCAGCCTCGGCGGGTGGCCGTAGCGCCGGCTTTCCCACACGCCATGGATGCTTTGCTCCTCACGTGACTAATTTGACGAATAGCGGCGCCGCGCGCGCCGCCGCGCACAGAAAACAGGAGAGGAGGAAAAGGAGGCGGAAAGCAGGGGAACATACGCCAGGGCGCGAGAAACGTCGGCGGGGCGACCGTAAAGGTGGCTTTCTCGCACGGCGTGGATGCTTTGCTCCTCACGTGATGGATCTCGGCGAATAGCGGCGTGGCGGCGCGGGGAAAACAAATGCGCAACTCTGGCTCCCCCTTCGGGGGAGCGTATACAGGAACTCTAGTTTGAAGAGGCGAGTAATGCGACCATGAAGACATAGTATAGGAAACTAATCGTAACGGTCAACCATTTAATTAAGAAAAATTTGTTAATTCACGTTATAATTAGTATTAATAGACATACGGCTTTAATTAGAAACTTGCTGAGCGTCACCAAAAACACTACGTCATCAAAAACAACGCTAAGGACAGCGTCGTTCTTGGGCATAGGATTGAGCGGTTCGTGCCGCGCAATCACGTTTTTATGGCCGTTTACACTGATTTTTTTTTTTTCTCAATGGGACAAGTTAGGCTTTTGCCTTAACATAAAAGCTAGACTGTTTTCTTTTCTGACCAACCTGGACGAAGCCTCCACGGAAGCACCTGTGCTTAGGTTCTATAAATAAGGCACAATTGATTTCTTCCAAAGCCAATTTTTCTTGGACTACCTACTCACGGAGAGCTGAAAAAAGCTTCACATGAACACGACTGACCTGATTATACCGTCTCCGTTCTATAGTCACTACCCACATGAAATAATAAAGGTATCGACTGTGTTCAGTAATCTGGGGAAGTACCCACTAAAAACAAGACGCAATATGTACTTTTTTTTTAAATTGCAAGTGGTTGTCCCTCCTGGTGATGCGTGTGTGAAAAAACAAAGGGTTCCTTGTTTTTCAGACCAGTCCAGTAAACTAAATATGTTTTAGGCATAAATAATCATGTCTAAGTATGCCTTTTGTATGGTTTGCACGCTTATGCATTTCCTTTGCTGGGTTATGCATGGTTAATGCTACCGAGGACTGCGAGTAACAATTTTTCGGTCCACTTGAGCGCAACAATTTTGGCATTCAGTTCAGCCCTTAGACCTACTCCGCGTCTATAAAAGGTTGATCAGGTGGAGGCCAAATGGGGTCATTGTTTTTTGCTATGCTATTTCGGGCGTAACAAATTTCGAACGTTTATTAGATTGAAGAGTTCTCACCCACCTGCGTGAAATTTTGGTAGCTTTGGAGCAGCTTATGTCTTTCATTGAGTGGCGTCTGAAAAATGGCAAAGTGAATCAAAATATTGTTAACGCGCATTTTTATAGAAACTACCGAAAAGTTTCAACTAGCTGAAAAAGAGTGTGGTACGACTCTACCTTACAGCGCAAGCCAACTCTTAAACAAAAAAAATGTAACGTTATTTCAAATGCCTGTATTGCAAGACTGGTAACGACTGTTTTTAGTGCCAGGTGCTGCCATAACTAGTGCACATTGGTACTTAGCCCGGCCTACAAGCCTGAATGCTCCCAATGACTGCATGCGCTTATTGGCCAAATGTAGTTTTCACTGCAACCGTCGCAAACAAATAACAGTGGGAGAAGGGCACTCACGGTATCTGCGGGGTCTTCCTGGGTATCTTGTTTTACCTCACTTATAGGATCAGTGACCTAAGATGGTTAATGTTTAGAATTAAAAATACTATCTGTCAGAAACCATGCACACTATATGTAGTGTCGGAAGAATTGGGTGAAACATGCACTTTATATATACAGGGTGCTTGCGTTTATTTTGAACATAATAATATAAAATGAGACGCTAGATGCCGACTTAATGCGGTTTTGTAGGTGAATGACACGGTCAGGGGTACACAATATAGGGGTCTGATCGTCTCGATAACTCGCATAATAACCTTAAAATTCTTAAATAACTTCATAATTGGTGAAAATGGCATTGCACTAGTGAAAACTTTAGCGCGATCCCGCGCTATACTTTCCACGTGCTTAAGGGGACAAGTTTGGAGCACGTGGTTAGTGCCCCCGCACTTACCACGGGCTTCAAATCTTCCTATATTCGACTGATTTCGTGGCTTCAGATGACGCGCAGCAAGTTTTGGATTTGAATCAAGTTTTCGTTTTCACTTATTAAAAATGTCCATGGAAAAATTTTATGTAAATATTTGAGCCATCGTTATTATGTCGTGTGTTATGTATTATGTGACTATTACGTACCACTGGCGGTATAACTCACTTGCCCACACCGTATTAATACTCTTCACTGTTAAAAAAAAGTATGTTCGACCTAAAAACAAGTAACTCGTATACACTTTTTATATGAACTTGCCATGTGAATTGAATTTCACAAAGTGAAAATTACACCTTTGTATCAACTTTTTGCATCAAGAAATAAAAAAAAAAAGATTCATTTCATCTCTGCAGCACACGCAACTAAACGGCGGTCTTTAGGGTGTTAGAAATGGGCGAACTGGCCAATTTGAATCTTTTGTCAAAAGATATCAGTGCGAAAGACAAGGAACAAGGGAGGACAAAACAAGAAGCAGTACTTTCAATCGACGTCTTAGTGAAAATATAAGAAAGAAAAGAACGAAGATAAATATGTATAGAAAAATGAAAAAAAAAATTATCTAGAAAGAGGATTTTAAAAAGTTAATGAAAAATCAAGCAATAAAAATATAAATGTAGAATTATTTTTAAAAATTGAAAACAAAAGATTGAGAAGAAAAGAAAGTTTAGGAAATAAGGAAGTATCGTAGTTCCTTGGGCGGCAAGTTCACTAATGGCGCGCTTATGCAGGATTCGCTTTTCGCTGCGATGACTTGGGCTTCGTGAATTTCTCTAGTTCTTTTGTCGTGGAACAGTCTCAGAATTCCTGCGCTAGCTAACAACGGGGCGCACCCACAGTCCCTCACATGTAAGGCTAGGTTACCTGACGGCGAGGGTTGCAGTGAAAGTTCACGCTCCCTGAGCCTGATGTTGAGGCATCGTTCGGTGTGGCCCACACAAAGTTTTCCACATGAAAACGGTATCTCATACCCAACACCGCAATCACAGTTTATGTACTTGTGGAGATGTCTCATGATGCATTTGTCCGCCCTGTCGCTCTGCGAGTTTTTTGTTCTCGACCATTTGTTCTACATTTTTTAATGAATTTACCTTTATATTTTTTGTATTTTAATTTCTTGTTACCTTTTTATCTATCTCAATCTTTCGTCTAAATACTTTTTGCCTTTTTTAAATTTTTATATAAATTTATTTTCGTCCTTTTCTTTCTTTATATTTTGATTAAGCGTCAGTTAAAAGTTGCGCTCGTTCCCTCTTGTCCTCCCTAGTCTTTGTATTTCGAGGTAATAGTTTATGATGTTCAGCCAACTAGGCCACCAAACTATGGTGTTGAATCTCTAGCCAATACTCGTGGTACTCGGAAAGCACTCGTTTAAGGTACGATATTTTTGATGGCTCCCGTTTTATGGCGAATGAGAGGGTAACTACTTTAACACTGCTCCAGACAAACCTAGCAGGATGACCAACAATACTACTTATTTTCTGTTTGCTCAAACTAAAATAAATCTAAAAATTGAAAGTCAAGTATCGCATTAATTTATCCATCAAAAACAATGGTTGTTAGACTGTGTTCCCCGTACTCCTAGGGGTCCTCAAAGCGTTCATAAAAATAAAAAACTATAATTTTTTTTTTTTTTTTTTTTTTTTACGGCTTTGCACAAGACATGTGATATAGAGTGCATTGGTGGTCCTCGAATGGCCTCTGAGTGGGCCGAGAGGTCCGTGACGGTCAAAAGTTAAAGAACCGCTGCTCTAATGAATGCGCCGTGAGACTCTTCTTTAGTAGTGCGACTTCACCACAACTAGGGCCAATTACGCGCGGAGTGGGAGACTTCTATGCTTAGCGTTTGTAAACATATGTGGTTTATTAGGCGGTGTGTTAAAGCAGCTGATGTTACTCTGTTGTAGCGCGCTCGCTTCACACTCTGTGGACCCAAGATCGAATCCTTAGGAAATCGCAGCAGATTTTGGGAATTTTCTATGTTCAAGCATTTGGCGACATCGACGACCAATGCACTACTACTACGACAGCTTAATAATTACAAGTGGGAACCAGAGCCTATAACAGCTATTAGTGCAGCGTCCCACATGGTTGTCGGCGTAAATATGCACGTCGGCAATTACTCTTTTCAAAGTTTATACCTAAACGCGAAACCCCGCGAAACCCGGGAGGTGCAGCAATCTGTAATGTCTTTATGAAACTATAGCTGTTCGTCCGCGACCGACAAACAGCGGCATGCACTACAGCGTTTCCCCTAGCTTAAAAACAATGGCATTTTTTTAGCAGCGTGGGGGCGCCACCATGTCATCCATCCCATTCGTAGACCACCGTGAACGTGTGTTCCGACCGCTGTGGATGCACATGGGCTGCGGTTCCGTACTGCGGCCTCACATGGACTTCTTGACTCGCAGTCGTCACACATTGTTAACGGGCCGTAAGCGCGCAGTGTCATCGCCCCTGAACGCACAACAACGAAATGTCTCTGTCGTTTATAGCGTATAGCGCGCTGTGTAGCATAGGGCGTTTATAGCGCCCTATGCTACACAGCGGGACCAAGCGTGGAAGAGACTTTAGGACATTGCCGCCGTCTGTGATTGGTCAGCGCCTTGTTGCTGACCAATCGCAGATAGCGGCGATGCCTCGGATTCCCTGTACCGCTTGCTCCTGCTGTGTAGCATAGGACCCCTAATCTGCTCGCACCAGGGATAAGAAGTGTTTCGGGAATGTACACCACGCGGAAGAGTTATGAGAAGGTGCATTCAGCATGCTTTGTTATATATAACCGCTGCGCATAATGCTAACGCATTCTTTCGAGAATTATCTTGGCGGCAGCAGCGATCTTAACGCGATAGCGTGAAGAAGCTCGTGTCGCAAAAAATTCAGCGTCGGCGTCGGCGTCGGTGGGCCCTCAAAATCCTAATTGGTCGATAGGGTAACATGTGCGTAACGTGTGACGTTATGCGTGTAACGTCACACGTGGCTGTGACGTCAAAACTAACAAGTGGAGCAATGCGCGTGACATTATGCATGACTTTGACGTTATGACTTCACAAACCCGCTAAATTTTGTGGGAATATTTACCGCTAAATTCAGCGAAAATGTTTCCGCCATATTTAGCAGGTCGATAGGCTTAGGACGCCTGCCACATGGCCTCACGCGAGAATTTTGAGCAACCGACAACAATCACGTTGACGTCACGTGAAAGATGACGTCACGGTGGCATGACGTGTCTGTCACATCACGCGACACGTGACGTCGCACAGACACGTGATGCTACCGACTAGGCCACGCACACACGTTTGCACGTCTTGGGAACGAGCGCGGGTTCACACGAGAAGGTTTTAGAAACAGGGCCCGATAACTCTATCGCCCTCTCGCCACATTATAGCCTATTGGTTGTTCTGGTCTGGGGCACAAATAAAATAAAGCATTATTATTATTATTATTAACATTAAAGGCTAAGTTTTTGCGCCCTTCGAGTTTTTGGCCCATTTTTGAGAAGACGAATAGAAAGAAGCTTTCGGCGTAAGACCTTTTGTTTTCACCTCAGCTCAGGCACGTATTAGGGGTCGAATTTTTCATTTGGGCCAAACAAATATATATTTCTGAAGAAAGTTTGAAGTGAAAGAGATCTCCAACAAAAACATGGAGGATTTTTGTTTTCAGGTATTTACTTTTGAAGCGGCCGAGGCAAAAACTGTAGTTTCTCCGTCTGAAATTGCGTGCTTAACTACTCGCTATTAAGTCACTTTTACAACTACTGTAGTAGAACATTTTGTAACACGGTCGAAGTACGTTTCATTATGCTTAATAAATTGAAAAAGTCCTATAGTTTAACATATTAAAGATATATGTAGAAATCAGAACAAAATAAAAAGTGACGTCCCTTTATATAGGCGTACGCTTAAAAATATAACAATTATATGCATATTTTCTTTAAAAATATTTTGAATTTGCTTCATGCTGTATTAATTGCAAGGCTGATTGTTTTATTCAAATATATAAACACAAAATATATACATAGAAAAAAAGATGCGGGTGAGCTGGTAAACTTTTAACATCATCACCCCAGTCTCATTGACAAAATATTGCATTTTATTTCTTTGACCACAATTAAAGCTTGATTCATGTCAGTTGTTTGTCATGACCACGTCCTTGACTCAGTGCAATTTTGGCCTACATTTGGCCTTGAATCTAGTAAATCGCCTAATAATATTACTTATCAAGTAAGCTGGAAAGTAAGGGCAAACAAGGGGGATCGGTGAGCGTGAGCGCGCGAAGTCGTCGGACGCGCAAGACTTTCAAACTATGAGCCCCAGAGGACCGTTTACAATGGCCCTTGCAGGCCGTGGTTCTATTGTTTCTGTATAGAATGCATCGACTCATGAGTACCAGGGGGCTCTGCCATCGCTACCACGCAGTGCAATGTTTAGGAACTCAGTTATCCTGCACTGTGATGTCAAGGGCCGCCCATACAGGATTGAAAATTTGAGACGCGGACAACCGTATGTCCCGTAGTAGGTGGCCTCTATCGGTGTCTACCAAATGAACCCCGTTTGGATTATGATGCAACGATCGTCGGCTGCAA